CGCCAGCCGTTAGCTTCTCAGCTCAAACCCAAACCGTTTGTGGGCTGCCGGGGTGCCAAATCGCCCCCAGCCTGCAGCCGCTTCCTCTCCCCCTGCTCCCGCGCCGCTTGGCACGTGTGCCGCCCAGATGCCAAGCCGCGGAAGGGATTGTTTTTATTTATTTTTTCTTTTTTATTCCTTTTTTTTTTTCCTTCCCCTCACTGCATCTGGCTCCTGCGCAGGGCCTGCAGTGTCGCGAGTGCCTTTGGGTGGCTCCCAGGCGCCATCCTCACAGTGCCCCTGCCTCCAGCGAGGCCTGGATGTGAGGCCAGCATGCTGCCAAGCTTGGAGGCTGAAAGAAAGCAATAAATAAATATATTTTTAAATAAATGTAAAGAAAACGGGGGAGGGGGAGAGGTGAAAGGGGGCCGTTTGCCCTTTGACCCGGGCACAAACTACATTGCGAGTGGCCACCACTGCCAAGGCCTCAGCGGCCTCCGTGAGGCCATGGTCCCGCTCGCTGGGTGGCGTGGGGCTGGGGGAGGCAGCCGGGGGCCGGGGCTCGCTGCAGTGAGCGGCGGCTCCCAGCAGAGGCCATCCGCAGCTCGCACAAAGCCGCGCTCCCCAACGGTGCCCGCAGCCCTGCTGAGGCCCTGGCCTCCCTCCGGCCTCCCTCCACTGAGCCCTGGGCAGTGGGGTTAGGGTTAAGCCAGGCCTCCTCGCCGGGTGCTGCCACCCCCATGGATGAGCCCTGACACAGTGAAAAGCAGATAAAGATTAAAAGGGGGTGAAGGAAAAAGCCCAGGACCTTACTCTGGACCCTTACCCAGGACTCTTATCCAGGCGTTGCTGGAATTCAGGGGCACAAAGCTGTGATCCCACACACCCACCAAAGCATTGCTGGGCTCAGCAGCCCGGGACCCAGCACCTCTGGGTGCTTTTTGTAGCAGGGAGTATAAGGATGGAGGAGCTCAGTGGGACACGAGGTTTGCAACACGGTCCCATTGCTCACAGGTCACCTTCCCCTGCCTGCCAGGAGGAAACACAGACCTGCTGAGATTTCCATAAAGGTTAAGCGAGAACCTTTAAAACCAGAGCCATGGGATGTGGGAGACATTTGGCCAAAACGTTTCCCAACAGAAATATTTCTCTTCTGCCTGAGAGAAATCTTAGAGCTTCCCGAGGAAGCGAACGCTTTGCTATTGGCTGCAAAACCACTTTCTGGAGGCTGGCTGCACAGAAAGGGACTCATCCTGCATCCAGGCTGCCTGGGCCTGGCAAACGTGCTGTGCTTGCAGGGAGGCAAGGGGGAAGAGCAGATGCTGCTGTTGCCCTCACTATGTCTGCACCTGCCTCTTCTGCACAGGTAGCAGCCCACAAAGCCTACCGGTGCTCCCGGATTTGCTTTCTCTTCTTTTACCCAGGGTCTGCTACATATCATCGTTAACGAAACCTTCGTTCACATTATACGGTTCTTTCCCACTCGCAGCATATGCTCGCTGGAAAAAAAAAAATACTGCGTGTAGCCCCATTGCAGGATCTTTTTTTTGCACTTCAAACTAGTCTATAATATATGATAGAGCGCCAACGCTTTCATTGACATATAGCTTGTTCACTTGAATGTCATGAGAAAGCAAACAAGCGAATCTCAACAACGCAGCTAGCTAGTTATATGGCTAATCTGGTGCGCTGCTTGGGTTTCATAAATAAATTAGTTCAGTCTCCCGAACGGGGAGAGAAGCACGAAGCAGTGATCTCTACACGACTGCTGCCCTTCATTACCACGCGGGCCTGGCTCAATTAGAAATGCCATTTGTTTTGATTACGGGCTGTATCCGCCTAGAACCGAACTTCACCCCAGCACCCCGATGGAGCAAGGACTCGGTTTCTGGCTGAAACGCTGGACGTGGGCGATGCGCTAGGGGCTGAGGGCTGGGAGCAGAGCGTGGGTGCAGACGGGCTCCTGGCAGAGACGTCCCACGTGCGGGCTGCGGCAGCACCAATTCCTGTCTGCTCGGCGCTGCCAAGCTCCAGCATGCGTGCTGCCTTTTATTTATTTATTTATTTGTTTAGTTTTCCTCCCTTCTGGCTAGAAATAGCTCATTAAATATTTAAATTTTCAATTAAAGAGTCACTCTGAAGAAAACAAAAGTTAATATTCATTCCTTTCAACGCGGGGCGCGTTTAGAGCAGCCGTGCTCTTCGCACACATCAGAGCCAGAGCTCAAACACGAGAGGAAACTGCTAGGAATACAGCTAAACTGCATGATACACAAAAATATAAATAAATAAATAAATAAGGCTTCAATCAAAATAAATGCAACTCTGCCTCACAATAAAAAAAAATAATAAATAAATAAAAGAAGTTTAAAATAAAGCATTTTGAGTGTTATTTGACATCATATTCAAATTGAATGCCTGATAAAATAGCTAGGCAAGATGGCAAATGAAATATTTAGAACTCACAGAGACATTTTTGCCTTTGCCTCTTCAGTTAGCCAGAGCGTGCCAAAAGATTTTCAGTCTGACTACAAAAGTTCCTTCAAATTTTCACTGTCACCACGCAGCCCATTTGCTCTGTTGCAGAGGGATAAGGTGGTGATCAGCCCGGCGCTGTGAAATTTCCATTCCAATATACCATCTCCGAGCCAGCTCACACGACCTTGTCCCTATTTGCAGCCCGATTCCTCTTCTGCAGGCACAGAGGGGACACTTCTCTTCCTACACACCCTGCTGGGAGGATAAAATGAAGACTGCAGTGCAGAGGTAACAGGATCACATCAGCCATTCAGACCAATTGATGCAGCCTCACGAGCAGGTTGTGGGGTCCGACTCTCCATGAACAGGAGTTACAAAATTAAACAACTCTGCAGATGGGCAGGTTGAAGCTGTGGAGGAGTTTGGGTGTGCTGGGTGGGTAGGTGGCCTGGGGGCAGATCCTTCCACCTGGTGAAGTTGTTCCCTGGGTCATAAAGTTCCCATTTGTGGAACTTATTTTAGCACTTTTTAAAGGATTGCCTACTGTTAAAGCCACTAAAATTGCATGTTCAGCAGGAGGGAAAGCCGTGCCTTGACATAGCTTGGGAGAAACAGAGCCAGTTCTGAAAGAAAAATTGTCTCACCTTGAACTTCCAGCAAAACGAAGACAGTTCTTTCAGCAATGGGAAAATTCATTGGAAAAAGCTAATTTAAGTGGCAACGAGATGGGCGGGCATGTTAGCAGGGACAAGTGTACTTGGAGGCACTGTAAACTCTTAGCTAGGAAAAGTCAGGCCCCTGCATAGATACGAAGTGCTGAATTTCTCCCCATCACTGCTCAGAGTCTATTAACCTGTGTTTGACTAAGACATTTCTTCAAGTGAAACATCCAATCCCAAATTGAAAGCTTAAAAAAAGCCGACAGTGCACACTGCTTCTGTTATGTTCCACACTTAGTAATTTTGGCAGATAAAAATGTGCCTTATTTGTCCCAATTCATATATGGTGTATTTCAAGGAATATGGTGCTCATGCTCACATTTTTCATGATCTTTCAAGCACAATTTAAGTTCAATTTAGTCTAAAATAGTCAGATTCTGTGCTCAGCATTCAGGATATTGAGAGCATGATCCCACTGCACTGAACTCAACTTGTTTTATGCCACTAAAATCAGTGTGAGCAGAAGCAGGTGTTAATCTGTACCACTCGTACTAATCAGGGAAGAGCTGATCCAGCCTTTTAAAAGAGGAATTTCATGGGCGTTTTGAGTACAACAGAAAGAAAAAGGAGGTACCTAGGTTATATGGGCTCTCTGTAAATGAAATGTGAAAGAGGAGGCAAACATAGCAAGTTGGGGGAATATCACCCAATAAGATTTACGGATTACTTGGTGGAATTTCAAAAAAGCAACTCAGCAGAGTTCTCTTCTATGAACAGTTGCAAGGAGGGACCAATGTCACCAATGTCACCCTTATGGAAGTCAGGGTGCCCTGCCAACACGTTTGCTCCAGCTACAGCACGAATCCTGCTTGACATGCCAGAGGAAATGTGCTCACAAAATACTGGCAAAGATGCTTCAAAGAGTTGGACAAAGGACAGATTGTGCTCTTCATAACCAAAGACCACTTTCTGTCCTCATTTAAAAAAAAATAAATAAATAACAGAACTGGTATGGGTACAGAAGAGAAAAATACACAAATCTCCATTAGTTCTTATGTATACAGGAGTAGTGGCTGAGTGCTAAGCTCTCTCCACACACACAGAGCTGCTACTTTGGCCTAACGCCTGCAAGATTTGTTGATCTGCTGCTTCATCCTGAGCTGTTGCATTGCAAGTCCCAGTGGCTCTCTCCAGCCCTGCTGGTGTCTGAAGCAGAAGATACCCATCTAGGGAAGGGAAACACAGCCGCCTATTTTGTGCAACAAACCAGCTATGAAAACAGTTTAAAAGTTGACCATAAAGCAATAAACATTTGCAATTGTCCATGACTAAACTATAGATTTTATATATTAGAAAAACCTGCCAAACCACTGCAGACAAAGGAAGGAAGGAGTTGAGAGTTCCTGGCTTCTGGCCCTGTTCTTGGTCCACTACTCAGACCCAACTGTCCTTGTGATAAATACAAGTAGACTGTTATAGAAACAACACCGAACTTACAAAATCTCAATGAGGTTCCCCACGTGCTTCAGGGTGCCATGGCACTGTCAGATAGATGGGGGGGAACATATTTTCATCATCTCTTTTGCTGGTGCCCTCTCTTGCCCAAAAGCACTCCAGCATTCTCCCAGAAGTCAAGTGCTGGCATTTCAAAGGCCACAGCTTGCTCAGGATCAAATACGCAGCAGTTGTTGCCCTTTCTGTTTAGGCCTTAAGCCTTGAATCAACAGTAAGAATCCCAGACATGGGAAAATACAGTGCTGACAAATACGTAATTTAATTAAATGGGCTGACATTGTTTAAGCAATAGCCCTTTCCTCTGATCCATCTCTCTCAGAACTCTTTGTCTTAATATTATGGTCTACTTGAAACACTTGAGCTCATGAATGGATTAAAGAGGGTTTCATTTGTTTTATTTATTATTTTTACTGCTTTGCTTGGCTTTTTACAAACAGGGGAGGCACAGCCCTCATTTAGAATTCACTGGAACATGCACATTCTTTCCTCCTCCCCTGCCTTCAGAGGGTTGAAAAAAATATAACAAAAAGATTGCAACTGCTTCAAAAGTACAAAAACTCTTGGGTAATTTGTCATCAACATTTACAGATTAACAAAAGCAGCTTTAGAAAACAATCTTTTCAAAACCTAGATAGGATACACATTTACTGCAACAGTAAATTGTGGGATTCTTTAAAAAGAGCAAGCCAATTTTTTTACCCAATTACTTTTTGTTCAAAATCACAGTAAAGAGCCAATATTACAAACTTACTTTTTTGCGTTCTGATTAAATTCAGTCTTTGATTTTAATGCGCGAGTCCTTGTGCTCTCCCAAATAGGATCTCAGTATTGTAATATCTTGCTGTGATGGTTGTGTATCCCTTGAAATGCATCATTGATGCATTATATCAGCAAGGACTCAAGCTTCCATTTATCTTCAAATATTTCACAATCCACTGCAGCATATTCTCAGTTGCAATTTTTGCTTTCAAGTTTGGCCACCATGTGTGTAGCATTAATTTCTCTGTTCACATGTAATTCATTCAGGGACTTACACCAGCTGAGAACCACATATGGAGGCCCAGATTTACAGAGCTTTTATTTTGTGCCATGGAAGCCTACAAGAAACAATTTTCTGTTTGAATATTGAGTGTTTACAGAGGTCTTGTTGTTCACTAGAGACAGCGGATTATGAAATCATATTCTGCAAGAATCCCATCCAAAAAACCTGACTGTAACATTTATTAACTCCTCTTTGTTCCAATGCTCACAGGGTTCTTGGGGGGCAATTGAACATCACTAGTCCTCTCTCAGGGCTTGTTGATTGTTATTACTATTTACCATTAAAAAATATATAATAATATTGGTCCAGTCTCAGCCTCTTTCTGTTGTGTCTGCCATTACAGCAACGTTGAGTATCCAAGACATTGCATCAGAGACAGAGATGAGGACTGGGACTTGGGTCTCAAGAAGACCAGCACATCTGCTCTAAAGCTTACCACAGCTTTCCTGCTGCTTGTACTGGATCTGAAGATGTGCATGGGGATCTATTTTGATGAGAAACAGACAAGAAATTATTTGTATTAAAGGTATTCACATCATACAGCTCACTAGGGTCCCCAGAGTAGGTACCTGTACCAGGCAACTGATGTTTGGCGTTGAGAAGATGCTTTTATTTTATTGCATTTGAGTCAGCTCCAAAAGCAGATCTCTTTAAGACCCTATTGTGGCATTCATTTAGTCTTGTTTTGAGAAAATAATGACACATATTGAGTGACTAATGTCCCACATAATTAATCCTGTAGCTCCTTATTTATCAAGATTTCAAGGCGAATGGAGCATTTTGATGGAAGGTGAGAATTTCTGAGGTTAAACCCAATGCTGACAAGAATCCTTGTAGGGATGCTTCAGGTGGAAGTCCACCTGTGATAGAGACCTGGAGGAGACACCACACGCTCATGGCTGCTTGGGGGAGGAGATGGGGTGGAAGTTAACTGATGGGGGATGCTCAGTCCCAATTGCTGTTGGAGGTAATGGAGCTGGGTGGACTTGGGGTCTGGTCCCAGGAGACCTGACAGCCTCCCTAGGCGAAGGATGGAAAGTGTGAATTGACTTTAATTAGGGTTCGCCCATGTGGCCTCCGATGTATCAGTTTAAGTCAAACATTAGCAACTGTCAATTTCTTCTTTCACCCAAGACCCAAATCCCGTAAACACAAGGACCGTAACAAATCCCTGAAGCAGGCTTTAGCACACATATATGGAAAACATACTAAACTATAAATACTGTATACCATATGGCATTGAGATTATCTAATTTCACTTCATAACTGGTGATAAAATGACCAATCAACTGACGTGCAGCATGAAATGTCAAGCCAACGATTCAGCTAGCCTTAATACGGCTCTGAGGTTTCATCATATCCTATTGCACCCTAAAAATAAGCACACACCTATTTTGCTGGTACCGAGAGCAAGAACATCATAGGAATCTGTGCAACAGGTCTGCCAGCAAAGCCAAAATTTGTCCTAGTTTCTCTGCAGGTATGTTAGGAGTGAGGAAGCTAGATTAGGAGGACACCCACTGTAGCAGAAGAGAAATTTTAAACTGTGCATTTATTTACTTATATGAAAAAAGTATTTGGGGAAGGTGCTACTCATCCATTTTTTACCTCAGTACTAAAATCAATTGATTTAATCATTGCACAGACCACAGTTCTAGTGCTCTGCTTCCCTTAATTATAGGGCTCCTACTCCAGCAGTGAGGTGTCAGCCCTCAGGAACAGATCAGCATTTTGATGACCAATATCAAAGTTACTGTTATATTCCTGAGCTGGAGAAAAAGGATTTCATCATTTGCTGAATTCTTGGTGAAAAACAGAGGAGCCACCAAGGAACTGCTGAATGTTGTCTCTAAATAGAAATCACAAAGTGGTCTGCAGTGGTGCCTGAACATTCATGCTTAGAGAGAACATGGTTGGAGTGGCCTGCTTGGAGACACTGAAAGTCAAATGGACCTTGGAGCAATGCAAAAAAACTAAAATCATGCAGAGCTTTAAAAATGTCTCTAAAGGAAGCATTCAGCTTTTTTTCATAGTTAAACACCAATGTCATCAGCTCTGATTTTGTGGGGCCTTAGCCCCAGAAGCAGTGAGATCGATCAGTCTACAGATCCATTTCCCAGGAGAGTGCTGAAAAACAGGCTTTGTTGGCTCATTTAAAATTAGCTTGGGTACAGCAGTTATGAATATACTGTGCAGAAAATTGTGCCCTGAATGATAAACAAATAGGTTGCTATGATTTGATGCTATTTTAATAGCTGGTGATTAACCAAATGAATGCCATTTGGTCTGGTCTGATTCGCCAAATGGCTTCCTCTCTCCTACCAGCCAGGTCAGCTGTAAAGTAGTGCCCCATACAGCTATGTGCTTTCACCATATAAAGTCTGATAAAATAATTTTTAGTGGAATAGTAGTTTATTGTAAGGTATATACTCACATCAATCCCAGAGTTGATTTTCTTCAGCTGAGGGAAGAGCATTCTCTAGAAAAGCATACTGAGGGTTTGGCTTTCACATGAGGTTAAGGTCCTTGGGGTCTTCTTCATCAGAAACATTCAGATATTTCAAGTGCATACATGCTTAAGATCCCCCATCCACCACAAACACATCTACAGAGAAAAAAGCAGATTAACACGACTCTAGCTAGTCTGAACAAAGTGCTTCCTTGCCTCAGTTATCAAGAACTGGTCGGCTGATGAAAGCAAGACCCCGCCATACTCCAACAACAGCTTGATTTTCAATGCAGTGATAATCAGCTTGAGGACTGCAGACTGGTCATAGAAGAACTTGAAACTGAGAGCCTGCAAAGGACAATACACTATTGGTGTTAAACCAGAAGCAGGAGAGGAACCAAAGCCTCTCCTGACTTTTTGTTCACTCTGAAGTGTATCTATTTGGTGTCTGGTGTAGGATGAGATCCTTTCCCAGACATCCCCTGCCAGCTGCAGAGATTGTGATCTTGAGATGTTCAGCCCTGCTCTCTAATGGAGGATGGCTGGAGATGATGGGTGTGAATACCTTCAGCCCCCAGCCCATGCAGGTGAGGGAAGTTAGCACCGATGCTGCTGCCCAGCCTGGAGACAGCAGAGCTTGTCCTGCCTTGTATTGATGTATCAGAGAGCCACATTACCAAGTCCACTTTGGTAATTTATGTCTAAGTTTTGTTTTATCTACTTTAGTTGGAATTTTGCCTTTTTATTTTATTTTTTTTAGTACAGGTTATTTTTATGAGGGAACACTCTAATTGGCATCTCGGCACCAACAGCAGTATGTCTCAGGTGGACCCGGCCAGTGCCTCGCTGTGTCCCCTCAGGGTACATTAATTAGCACGACTGCACTGGCTCGTGTCGCTGCCCAGTTCTAGCTGATGCCAGAGGTTAAACTGTCCCCTGACTGTCACCAATCTGAGCTCTGAATAGCTCTTCATATGCACAGTGCAAGTTAGCATTGCTCTTTGGGGGGGGCTGGTACTGAACAAGCCCCTTGCTCCTTTGCTGCCCGTCTCTTATGGATTTGACCTTGGAAGGTAGCAAAGAGGTGTGGTGGAGCAGAAAATGAGGTGAGGGCTGGAGAAAGCAGAGTAAAATGAGACAGAAAAGAAATAGGTGCAAACAAAAAACTGTGGCAAGAGTATGCATAGCTTAAAAACGCTAAACAAGAGACCTGGTCCAACAAGATGCTGAGAAAATGCTGAAAGCAGGACAAAACCTCTCATTTCCCAGTAATGCCATTGAGAACTGATCCTCAGGCGTTCATACCTGGTAAGAAATCAGGCACTGTGCAACACAGTAAAACAAAACAACAGTAAAACAAAACAAAACAAAAGAGACCCAAGTCTAATTTCTTATTATTGGCAGTGCCAGAAATTAATACTCTGAATACATTTCTGATTTCTGAGTGGTAATTCAAAGGTTTGCCTTGCCCTAGCATTTGTTTTATTTTTCTTCAGTATTTTTTAAGTAGTCACTTTGCACCGTGCAAAGTATTTTTTAAGTAGTCACTTTGCATCATACTTGAACAAAAAGGATAAAGAAAAATATTAACATCTAATGTAAAATTCTCGCTTCCTTGAAAAAAAAATGGACAAAAATGAAAAAAAAAATGGTTAAAAGAGTGTTTAAAGTGGTTAAATGGTTAATGGCTCTCACTTAGACTTCTCCAATTCCTTTACAAATTACTCAGACCCAGTGTCACAGAACACTTCTATGTGAACGTTGCTCTGTGCAGGTAGTTGGAGAACTTCTTGTGTACTTAAAAAGATAAAGTGCAATTTTAAATGCTTTGCTGAACTGCACGAAACAGCAGAGCAATTTTTGTCCCTATTCTGTGAAAGATGAAATGGGGACATGGGAGGTTTTAATGTCAGTGTTATCAGAAGACTCCACAAACTGTGGTTTCTTCCACTTTTGGGACTGATTGTCAGAGGCACTGGGCAACACCACCTTCTCCTGCTCTTGTCACCAGACAATGCTGCCTTCTTCCCCAGACAAGCACAATTCCTGCGTTATTTGCATTTCATTTCTCCGTTACACGAGATAGCCGCGTTGTGTTGCTGCACAAAGAGGGGCTTTGTTTCCTAACCAAAGGCAGGCAAATAACCAGCTATTGAAATTTAAAAGGAACGGAATAATGTGACAAAACGCCACGTTGCTGGAATGCTTCTGCTCAAGAGCGTGCCTGCACAGATGGAGCAGAGCCTTGTCACCAGTGACCTTGTTCGCTCTTCCGCACCAGTTGCATTTTCCAAGTTCCTTACTCCTGCTGCAGCTCCGGACCTCCCGTTCTCAGTGGTATTGCAATTTGCCAGCACGCATCTCTGAGCGGGAACTCTCGAGCAAATCCTTAAAAAAAAAAATCAAAAGAAAATGATATCATGTTGATGTGATATAAAGCAAGCGATCACTGTGTTGGTGTAGCATGATCATATCACCTGCCCTTTCAGTGCCTGGCAATTTCTTGTTGCCTCACCATCTCAGGCAGATGCTCCAGTGCCACCAAGCCAAAATACCTAATCATCTGCTCCTAGCCAGCAATTCAAAAGGAGCCATTTGGAGATTTTCCTTTGACGCAATCTTTGTACGAAATTGGGATTAGACACCTACTTCATCATTTTTGAATCATTATTGATTCTACAGTAAACATGAATCCCAGTGACAGACCAAATCATCAAGCACCCAGAATGCTGAGAGCTTCCTGGCATCTCCCAGAACTTCAGGCAGTGCAGGCAGCAGTGAATACAAGCATGAACACCAGGACTCGAGCAGCCTTACACCAGGAGAGATCTGCCTGGGGAGCCCAGTGCCCAGCATAGAGACCCTGGGCAGTGTGGCACAGACAGTTCCCTGGTTCTGCTCTGAGATCTGAAGTGCTTTCTCAAGAGTCATATTAAAATGCATCAAGCCAGGAGAATTATTCCCAACCACCAAGCCCAGCCTTAGCCAGGTAAACTCCCATCCAGCCTGCAGCATAAGCAAAGACGGTGGGATCTGCAAATTGTAATTAACTTGCTAAAGTAGGTCAGGACTGTGTATCGCAGCGCAGGGGTACTCTGGCTTTAATGATTTCAAATATTTTGAGAAGCAAACTGAAAACACTTAGTCAAATTAAGTGTTTTCTCTGAGCTGTCAGCATTGCCAGCATTGCCAAGATGAACAGGATAAATTGGATTAGATGCAGTCTATATGCTTCAAATCCTAATGGAAAAGGATCCAAAATGTAACGCAATGCACAGAGGCAAAGCAAATATTATATATTGTCTGTAAAGCCGCAGATCTCAGCTTAGTGATTAGCCAGATAGTTTGAAATGGCATGAGTCATCTCCAAGAGAAGCTGCTGCTGGCTCCATGCAGCCTAGCTTGTGACAGTCTCTGCCTGCTCACGGAGGATTTTACAGCTGGGAAACAGTGTGGTAAAGGAATGATAATTTGGGTTAAGTATGAAAGTGAAATTGTGTTAGACAACATACCCACATGAGTCTTGGGCCACTGGTTATCAATGGGCAGGGATGCACGATTCAGATCATAAACTGGGAGAGCAGCACGAGGTTGTAGAGGTGGGTGAAGACCTGCACCATGACAGAAACTATTTGCTGCTCTTGTCCCTCCATCAGAGATGAACTGAAGGTGTCCAGGCAAGGATGCTGCTCTGGAGGGGGTCAGAGACTGCTGGTCCAGAAGCCACACTCACAAGGAATGTGCAAACCACTCCAAGAGCATTGCTTCTCTTGGAAAACAGCTCAAGCATTTATAAACATTTAACACTTTAGCACAGACTTAGCTTTTCTGATTTCAGTGCCAGTTAATGTGGCTTTCAAAAAAGAGTCTGGTTTTGAACACAGCCTCTGCAGCTCCAGGCTAGTCTAGTGACCAGTGGTTAGTGCCATCAGCTAACACAGATCCCTGATACTGGAGTGCAAAGATTTGGGTAACAGGCAAAGCAGTGAAAGGAACGAGCACTTCAGCACTGTCTCCAATGAAGATCCTCAATGTTTTCTGCGAGCAAGAGTGCTGCAGTGCTTAATAAGATAGCGAAGATCTGTGTTATTGCCAACAGATGGAAACAGTCTGAAACCTGCAGGTTGTGGGGGGGTCGCTGGGTGGGAGGCAGGGTTAATCACAGCTGAAGTTTGGAGGGAGCACATGGAGATGTGGCTGTCACCTTCTGCCCCATGCACTCATAAACAGTCGGCACATAAAGCCCCTTTCACAGATGTTTTATGCTCCAATTGTGAAGTTTCTTGCCTCCATCTGAGAGCTGTTCAAATCTTTCTCCTCTGCTGGATAGAAACCACCCTTTTCCATGGCAGTTCGCATGCTTGGTTTTGTGCTGATATTGTCTATTAGTGTAAATAGACTAGTTTTGTTGTTGTTGTTGTTGGATATTTATTTATTTATTTATTTTAAGCTTTCTCTGTTTATATCAAGGTACTTAGAGGTACCTCCAGCTGCCTCTCAGGCTTTGTTTTGCTGATTTCAACAAGCCAAACTCTGTTATAGTAGACTCTCCATTCTTCTGATTTTGCCATTAGTTTTTCTCTATGCTAATTCTGGTTTGACTTTGTCTTTCTGGAGCTTGTATGCCCAACTGACGCCTGCCCAGTGCTCTGCAATGTCATTAATAGTTAATTCATGCTAGAAACCCACCACTGAGAACATCTCAAAGTTAAGGCTAAGGGGTCTCCAGGTTTGTTTGCTCTCCCCACCCTTTTGCCCTCATCCTCCAGTTCCTGAAATAAAGCGTGCAAAACTGACCAATGTCTTGGAAAAATTACGTGCAGGGTTGCAAAGGAAGCCAATGGAAAAATTAGGAATAAAACCCAACTAAGTCATTTACTTAAGCCACATGAATACAAATATCAAACAAGAGTATCTAAAACATCAACAAATTATGATAAGTAGCTAAAACACAGAAGTTGTCATCACCATGTCTGGACAGAATTTTGACAAGTCCTCAGATAAATCTTCTCCATCTCCTTTTTCCACAGACAGTTGATATTTTGAACAGAAATTCTCAAGTCAAAAGATGTACATCAATTTTTAGTTCTAGCAAAAAAAAAAAAAAAAAAAACTAGACACACAAAGCAGATGCTTTTCACTAAAGTTTTTTACGTTAAAAAAAAATCTTTTATCATAAAGTTGGTTTAAAAAATTGTCAAACTGGTTCCAAACAGTAGTGGTGAATACAGTTCCCAGTGGAGACAGACTACAGGTGCATGTTAGCATCTGTTCATCTGACAGGGAACAAATCCTTTAAAACTAATAAAAGGCTTCTACTTAGCTAGGCAGTGCCACCAAGCATTACAGAGGGATCAGCTTCAAAGTTCAGCTTAAAAAAAAATATGTACTGTAACAAAATAAGAAATATCAGTTATGTAAGTAAAGAAGTATGCGTGTAGCATTTACTCCTATAAATTGAGCAGGTCTCAGTGCTGTAGAGAATTGATTTTTTGTCATGCCCAAACTCAACTGCATCTTTAAAAAACACAAAAAACAGCTCAAAGAGAACCAAAGGGATCTCATGGAATATGTTTCAGAGGATCCGAGAGGCACAGAAGACCTTAATGCAGCTGATCTCAAGGCAGACATATATTATTTAGCAGCAACGAGGAGGCATCCACTTACAAAGACAATACCCACCAGGAGCAGTGTTCAGGCGGGTAGTACAAAACTGGCAGGGAGGACAAAGTCTGCTCTGCCCAAGGGATGAGAAACTCTGCTGCTGGGAGAGAGCAGAGCAGCAAGGAAAGCTCTTCCCCAACTCAGGAGCTGCTGCTATCACAGAAGGAAAGAAAAATAACTACAAGCAGGCAGCAAAAAAGAGAAGCAGGTTTGACCTCAAAAGAAAGATGAGTGTGTAGAAGTAGAGCTCTTCTCCAGTCTGATGGCTTGGACAGTGGTCTGCCATCTATGATATCTGTACAGTAATAGACTAATTGCTGTCGTAGATAATTGAATGATAACTGGTCTGGATAACATGTACCCGAAATGCCAACAAATAAATTGCTGCTTTTTCTCCCCTGTACAACTCATGCATTTCACAAGATGATTGTCTTTTAACATTCCTGCACTTCTCCAAACACACTTGAGAAGAGGAGCAGGGAGAAACTGTGGTATTCTGTTGTGTATTTAAGCACAGCTTCAAAGTAAAGACAGGAAAGTTACATGGCAAAGAAATTGCCCAGAAAAATATAACATTTAAATGATGGCTCCACTAAAAACAACAAGGATAATAGAGCAACCTGAGTTCAAGGAATTTATTCCAGGTAATTCAGTGCAGCAGCCTGAGAGGTCTAGGGCACAGTCCGGGAAATGTAAGTGGTTGGAAATCACTCCCAAAGCAGACTATTTAGCATTTGTTTGGTATGCCTATGCAATAAGTTACAGCACTGTGTCATTGCACGGTTGTGCATGCAAGCCCAGCAAAACCAAGGTGAGTAAATGCAACAGTCTGACCCCCAGCCAGGGCATTTCTGCCACACAAACTCCTGAGTTACAAGTCTCAAAATAACAAATACTCTCCTTATTTTAAAATAATTCTGGCACACATTTCCTTTCTAAATATGTGCCAAAAGTCACATTTGATATTAACACAATATTGCACTAAACTTATTTATTAAATTAAGGAAGGCGTATTAAAGGAGTACCTTTAAGCCACACTTTTATATAGTCTAAACATTGAATGAGATGATGTGATCAGTGCCCCAAACTACTGGTCTCTGAAGGGATAAAAATCAACTTTTGACAACCTTAGCTGCTTCTGCAGCTGCAGGGTGAACATTTTCTTCATGTCAATTTATATTTCCTTTCCTTCAGTTCAATAGCTGATTCATTCGAGTGCAGACACTGATGAGGAGCTGAGGCACAGGAATGTTTGTTTTCTCTTTTCCAAACGATGAGAGCAGACCAACATTAGAGCGTGATCTACTACTTCGGAATCCTCAAGGGACAAATGGTGACAAAACCATCAGACTGATTAACTCAGGGCATTTTTCCGGTGTCAATAATTTATCAAGTTTTAAAATACTATATACACTTTATCTTGATTTTTCTGAAACATCTAGCAAGTTTCACACAGCTTGAGTTAGCAAATAAAATGCCTTCATAAAGATAGTGACTTGTGATTTTGCTTGAGTTGCAATTTTCATCTGAAAGCAGTTTGTCACAAGTGGAAAAAAAAATCATCGCAGTAATTAGAACCATCAAACCCCATACGCTAAAATGATGCAGGGCAAACAGGGACAGGCAGAAGTCCCAGTGTTAATGGGGTGACATCAGAGCTCTGCAGCTCTTGTGGATCCTGGTGATGTAAGCTGCACCCGGTCACTCACCCCCTTTGGTCTGAG